TATGACCATTTTTAGCCGAATAAACTTTGCTTTAATCTTATTGTGATAGATGTGCTTGGCTTATTTTGTTTGTTTGTTGTTTTTGCTGCCCACTCACAATGATATCACATCAGTGCCTATTTCTTAACAGCGTGACTCACCGGTGCATTCATATTTGTTTGGACGTTGCGAAACTCCACTGCTAAATGTTACATCATACAGTCATAGTTTTGTAGCTAACGGTTACGTGTGGTGTATTGAAGAGTAACCGTTTCGTTTGGGTATTTCAAGGTGAATCTTTTTCTGAACTTCAGCCCAACATTATAATGGATGGGCATCGTTTCTACTCAAGTCCCAATGTGGGCAATATGTTAGTGGTTTGATTTTTTGTTGTTTCCTTTTCCTGCTTCTTGTTTTTTTGCTTTTTTATACTTTAATTTTGGTATACATTCTTTAATTTCGTTCTGAATCTTTAATTTTGTTTTTGAAATTTTTTTGACTCAAATATAACCATGTTCCTTGTATCAAAATTTTCGTATTTGTTAAACGTAACTTTGTATTTGTTATTCTTCGGTGGACAAATTTTTATTTCCTCTTTTTTTTTAAATGATCAATTGTTCATCTTGATTCATTCATTCTCTTCGATTTGATTTCTGAAAGTTGTTAAAAATGTTGGGAATGTAATTTCATTCAGACGCTATTCATTCGTGATTCATACGTGTGAAATGCTTTGTTACACTTGTAGGGATCAATGGAACCAGCGTGTTGGTAACCTCCCAATGAACGCGCCTGGTGCAAATGCCAATTTCATACNCATACCGAATGGATTTCGTCAACAGTCCAATTTCTACATTCCTCAGCAACAACAAACGTATGATTTATCTGTATGAGTGATTTTTTTCTCAAAATTGTCGATCCAAAGTTGTTGGCGGTGAGTTGGATTGTTGAACGTACGACTTTCATGGTGTATCTTAAGATATCCTATACTGAGAGCCTATTCAACCACTCGTGGGAGTAGATGATTGAAGTTATGAGATATTTGAAATATTTTATTGTGATAGTGATGAATGTTTTTTTCAGTACGCAGCGTTGGAATGATGATATGGGAGGTGCAGCCACAAAATCGTGGTCTCAACAAGGTCCTCGTGATGAGCACAAAGAAAGGTTTGATTAAGAATATATTTTCCTTACTATCTTCTTTCTTTATGTGGTTTGTTGAATTGAGAATTTTCCAGTGTGGTTCAGCTGAAATCTTAGGATTGTTTCCAAGTGAATGAAACATTTTTTGCTCATGAGTTCATTTCAGAGAATTGTTTTCGTGTGTGAACAGTGGCATAAATTTCGATAAATATGAGGAGATTCCAGTGGAGGCATCTGGTAGTGATGTACCTCGGCCGTGTGCATCTGTAAGTTCTGTTCAGTTTTTATGTCTGGATAATTTTGAATACTTTGAATCATTTGTTTGCATTTTTCCTCGTATGGTTGTAAGAATGCATGAATTATATTTATTGACAAGATTACCAACCGGTTAGTGTGATGATGGCAACGTCTAGACAACTACTTGCGTATTTGTTGTTCGGTAATGTCTGATTGTTTTTCTAAAAATTTTAGTTCGATGAATTGTCACTGCACGTTTGGATTCAAGAAAATATCAAGAAATCGGGATATACAAAACCGACGCCTGTTCAGG